TGAATGAAAATCCGATTAATAAATTAATCAGAGTGTATCCCAACCTGAACAACATTGCTTTCAATCAACTATTTTTCACCTGGAAATAATGGATAGGGCAATGCAACGTTTGCCGGGCCAGCTAGTCATATATATATATGTGATGCTTTGCAACTTGACTCTCCCATATTAAAAACAAACTATCATCATCTGCAAGGATATTTAGATCTTCGGGGCAGACCGAAGAGAGTTCTTATATTGGTTAATTGAATTCTCCATAAGTTATGAGGGGGAAAAAGAGGAAAATGTTATGAAAAATTAATTCATAAAAATGGGGGCTGGAAACTTGGGATATTTCTATGGGATTTTCTTGATGGCTGCTTAAAGGGATTTGAATTTTTTTTTTATTATTATTATTATTATTATTATTTTTGAGAGTTTAGCTAACTAAACATGTGACCACTAAATATTTGCTTGTATATATAGTTTGTCTTTGTCTTGAAATTTGGAAAATCAACAAAAATATCAAATGCAAACAGCAAAACCCAACAGAGCATTCCCATCCAACAATATAAATTTGAATGGGAACAATTTCATAGCATTGGCTGTTCTTGCTGTTCTGTTGTTGTTTTTGTTGTGATTGATGACATACTTGTTGTTGTTGGCATAGTTCTATTTTTGGTAATTGATTTGCTTCTGTTCTTTTCTTTGCCTTTTTGCTTATCGGTTTCTTTAACTTTATCTATTTGTTTTTCTTTTTCTTTATGTTTTTCTTTTTCTATTTGTTTTTCTTTTTCTTTTTGTTTGTGTTTTTCTTTTTGTTTTTGTTTTTCTTTTTCTTTATGTTTATGTTTTTCTTTTTGTTTATCCTTATCTTGATTTTGTTTTTTATTTTGTTTTTTAATTTGTTTTTGATTTTGTTCTTGATTTTGTTCTTGAATTTGTTCTTGATTTTGTTCTTGAATTTGTTCTTGATTTTGTTCTTGATTTTGTTCTTGATTTTGTTCTTGATTTTGTTCTTGTGGTCTCGGTTTAGTTACAAACTTACAATATGGCTTACGTGTTTTTTTGCGCAAACACGACGCCACATAGCTTTCAAGCTCGCGCAGCGTCGACGGCTTCAGTGTCTCGAAATCGATCTCAATCTCATCCGGATTCGAGTCGCGCAGCGATGGCTCACGATTTTGTATGATGTGTACCACACGTCCCAGTTTGTCGCCTAGATGAGAAGAGAGCACATTTTAGTTACAATTTCTATATTCCAATATTACATACATATATACGTAGTATATATTGATCAATACTATCTGTAAATCAGTTAACCTTTGGGTCTTATCTATCACATCTATCTATTTAATATCTATAAATGTCTCATATTCATTTATTATATATTTTAATATATTCAATTTTCTAGAGTACTACTAGAAATTCTTTCTGATACTTCCATATATATCAAATTATTATTCATTATGAGCTGTTCCTCCAGAAGCTATCTTCTCTAAGCTATCTATATGTATATCCCTTTTTTTTGGATTGGACAATTAGATCAATTTGATTCTCAATATAAAAATATCAATAGATTCACAATAATCGAAATTCTTTAATCCATCTTTAATCATTCAATGTATTTCGCGCTTGTCCAACACTGTTCTATTAATTTTCAAACTAGAAACTCTTTCTGAAACTGCTATTTCTATATATAGATTATTATTCATCACGAGCTATTCCTGCAGAATCCATCTTCTCTAATATATCTATCTATATTCATTTCTTTTGGATTATCATCCAGTATAAAAGGTCAATGGATTCTCAATAATCTAACTTCTGTAACCTAACTATCTATCTACCTTTAATCAGACTTTTCTAATATATCTATGAGACTTGAAATCAACTTTGATCTGACCCTCTTCCATCTGTTTATCCATGTTTGATCGCATATATAAGATATATATATAGATATGTATATAGTGATTGGGATATGTGTGCCACTCACCTGGCAACTTGTTAATGTCTAGGGAGAGCTGTCGCTTCTCATCGTAGGACATTGGCTTGGCGGTGTCCTCCTCCTCGGAATCAAAGTTCATCACCTGGCTGGGCTTCTTTTTGCTGCTGCCACGGGCACCGGCACCGCCGCTGGCACCACCGGCATTGGCGCCAGCTCCAGCGCTGGCGTTGCTGCTGCTCTTGGTGCGTTTCGCACTGTTGCTGGCGCCGCTGCCACCGCCGCCGGCACCGCTGCCGCCACCGGCTGAGGCGCCACCCGCTCCAATGCCAGCCGCACCAGCAGCCGCACCGCTCGCTGCATTGCCGGCAGCAACGCCTGCGCCGCCCTTGCCGCCGCGCTGTCCCTTGACCTTAGCACCTTTACTGCCACCGCTGCCGCTGCCGCCGCCTGCACTGCCGGCACCGGCAGCCGCCCCAGCTGCCAGTGCGCCCGCCAATGCACCGGCCGCCGCCTTGCCTCCGCCAGCCGCCACGCCCGCTGAATTGACGCCGGCCGCATAGCCCGCTCCGCCAGCGGCACCGCCGCCCGTCAGCTGGCTAATCGCCATGGCCACGTCGTGGACGTGCTGCAGCGATGGCGCGCCGGGTACTCCGCCAGCCACGCCCACACCGCCGGCACCCACCAGCGAGCTGCTCAACAGGGCCGACAAATTGGCGCCCGCCGCACCGCCAGCATTCAGTCCAGCCACATTGGCGGGCAATGTGACGCCGCCATGGCTGGCATTGCCAGCGCTGGCCGCATGCGGATGATGGCCACCGGCGCCGCCAGCACCACTGCCACCACCGGCGGCGCTGCCACTGCCCTGGCCCATGCTCTTCTTCTTCTCCTTGAGCTTTTTCTTAGCCTTCTTTTTAGCGGACGCCTCCTCCACCAGCTTGCGTATCTCCTCCTGGAGACCGAGCAGCTTCGATTCGAGCATCTTCAGCTTGGCACTGCGCTCCTCATCCGAATTGGATTCGTTTTCCGAATCGCTGGATTCCTCGCTGGATGAATCGCTGGCATCATGCTTTGACGTGCTCGAATAGCCGTGATGATGATGCGCCGCATTCGCAACGGGCTCATCGGGTATATTCGCGTATCGCATCTCAAAGACATCCTGCAGCTTGCGTCCCATCGCAACGACATCGTGATCTGGCGGATTGTATTTGTAGCAATTGGTGAATATTAATCGCACATCGGCCGCAAATTCCGGCGCGCTCTTATATTCGCGATTGTCCATTTTACGCTTAACGGTGCCCAGATCCATGGGCTTCTTGATGATATCGTGATAGTCGTGCAGCCCCAACAGCTCAGCATCGACGGGCTTGTAGAAGGGCCAGGCATAGCCGGAGTGCTTTTTGGAGAACAGCTCCTTGAGTATCTCATTGCATGATTTAAGTGCATCCGATAGTTTCTCCTTCGATTTGGCACCAGCAACGCCCCCAATGGCACCGCCGGCAACCAGACCAGGCACACCAGCGACACCCAATGGTGACATTGGATAGCCCGAGCCCTGGAATGTAAGATCCTTTGGTTGGTTTTCAAATTGGACGATTTCGATTGGTCGATTGGGCGATTGTTCGATTGTTCGATTCGTGCGTGGTATATGTGCAATGGCGATAACGATATAACGATGATTGAAACGAATTCAAAATAATAAATTGAAAGTAATACAGAATGGAGGGAAAAGAAAAGAAGCGATATAAATGGGTTAGAGCAATCAAAAAATGGTTTATCGATCAGTCAGTTGGTATACACATATATTATATATAATTATAGGCATATATACATAGATACATTTATGCATTAGCATAATTAGAGCCGAAGAGCAATATCGATAACTTCGATTATAGGTGAATATCATTGTTGTCTCTATTAATCGATATCGAACGTCGATTGTAACTGAATATCATTATCAAATGCATTGTCTCTATTAATCGATATCGATATTTATTGCTCTTCAGCTCTAAAATGCATTTCGATGATCTCAATTCATAATTGTAAAAGGCAAAGGCAGCGTTTAATATATAGGCTATTTTGATGAATGTTTTACTTGTATTTCGTGTTGTATTGTATGTGTGTGTGTGGTGTCTGACTGTGTGTGTGCGTGTGCGTGTGTGTGTGTAAGATTGTGTTAGTGTAGAGTATCAAAGTTTGGGTTTTGTGTATTTCTGTGTCTGCTTGTGCTGCTCTACGAATAAACTACGGTTTAATTCTGGATAAATTGTTTAAAGAATTTGTTATTTGTTTGCAATATGCCTTAGCCTAAACAATAAGCACAATGACTAGCGTTAACTGGAATCGGTGGGTGGAATTATTGGAGCTACATTGAATATAATCTTTCTACTATTTTAACATGAATTTGCTAAAGCGAGCAAGCGCATTCATTTTCATAGTCTATATATATACGATCTAGCTTTTCTTTCACGATTGACACCAGGAGCTATCGAGGTCTTTATAGATATCTAAATCGATTAGAGTGATGAACGAGATCAAGGAGCATCTAATATTATTCTTAAAGTCTTGGAAGGGCAAATCTACTAAAGCCTATATATATATACTGAACTGGGGACACGCTTTATGGATCGATAAATTCAACAATCGATAGCTATTACTACTATTGCAAGCTGTAAGCGAGCAACATTTATGTCAATCCTTGCAACTAGTCCATGTTTTAAGCATTTGTGTACTTGTATTAAGCACATCACACACACACACATACACTCTCACACACACACAAACACATATATATATATATATACACAACAACAATTGATGAATTATTGAACGTCTGTCCATTGCCTCTTACCTTTTTGCCAATTACCTGACGATTCGATTCCCGCCGCGTCGCTATTTTGGCCGCCTTGGCGTCCATTTGGGCGTAGGGCGATTCAAAGGCATTCGCCGTCGGCGTCGTTGTGTCCGCCTTCCGCTTGACGCCCTTCTTCATTTTGGCCGGCTGCTGTGGGGGTATCACCGCATCCACAACCCCAACACCGACGCCCGCCGTACTATTCACGTACGCTTGCACCGCATTGGCTGCATTGACTGCGGCCGATGGTATTGTCACACCACCGGTGCCGTCCAGGGCAGCTGCTGCGACAGCGGCCGCTGCTGCCGCCTGTGCTTGGGCGACCGCCGCAGCTGTTGTCGCCGCATTGGCGTCGAGCAGGGAGCTGTTGTTGATCGATGTCTGTGGGCCGGCTGCACCATAGCTGTTGCCGCCGCCGCTTTGCGCAGGATTCAGTAGGCTGGCCATGGCCGCATTGAGCACGGCTGCGTTTGTTGCGCCCGGCCCCGCCCCCGCACCCGCTGCTGCAGCCGCTGCCGCTGCCATCGCCGCAGTGGTCGTTGTATTCGTGCTGCCTGGCACCGTATGCGGCGGCATTGTGCTTATCGGTGGTATGGACGGTGTAACGCCTCCGGCTGTTGATGAAACCGTGCCGCCCATGGCGGAGACTGGCCGGGCGTTGGCTGCTGCTGCGGCTGCCGCAGCAGCTGCTGCTTGAAGGGCAGCCGCTGCTGCCGCCTGTGCGGCCGCTGACGTTGGCGTCGAGACGCCCGCTCCAGATGACTGCGACAGGCCGCTCATCTGGGTCAGCTGTGAGGATTGCGCTGCCTTCCCACCGGCTGTTGTCGATGTGCTGGTCGCTGTTGCTGTCGCTGCACTAGAGCTGCCAACACCACTGCCGGCACCGCTGCCCGATGAGATGGCAGATAGCCCACTGGCACTACTGTTGGCTGCCTTGGATGTGGCCGGTGCACGTTGCTTCTTTTTGCCGCCCTTGGCCGTGACAGGCTCCAGCTCGATCTCCTCCTTGGGCATCGATTCGATCTTCTGCAGAAATACCTTCTCCAGCGTTTGGGCCATCACAACAACATCCTCGCCGGGCTTATTGTACACATAGCAATTGGTGAACATGGTATTGAAGTCGTGAATGGCCTCCTTCGCCGACCAATAGTAGTTGTTCTCCAATCGCTTCTTAATCGTACCCATGTCCATTGGCTGTTTGATTATCTTGTGATAATCGGGCAGGTTCAGTTTCTTGGCGTCGACCGGCTGTTGAAAGGGCCACGAGAAATGATGTTTCCAAATGACCTTCATGACTGTTTTAATCAAATATTGCAATTGATTTGTATTCCGTCCCGGTCGGTCCTGTGGCGGCACAACCGGCGGCTGTACAATACCATTGATGGGCTCCACAGGGGGCTCATAGCGTGGCGGTGGTTCGTTGGATGACATTGTTCTTGATGTATCTCTATCTTATAGTGCTTGCTTGTTCTTGATTGTTGTTGATAATTAGATCAATTAGTTAAATATGATGATGATGATGATGCTGCTGCTGCTGCTGCTGCTGTTTTTTGTTTCTGCTCCTCAAGTTGTTGACTGAGACGGCCGACGCACACACACCACAACCGCAGCACACACGCCCGGGGCCGTCTCGTCCTGCTCACACGTCCTGTTCTGCTCGCCCCGCTGCTCAAAGCAGCCAATGATGATGCACTGCTCGAGAAATGCAGAAGTTTCTGTTTGGCCTTCTATTGCTGGGCCTGCTCCTCCTGCTAATCCTGATATTCCTACTGCTACTGTTGCTTGTCGTCCTGCTGCAATTGCTGCAGTTGCTGCAGGTCTGTTGCTTTATTCTATTAACGGCTATTAATGTTTTTGCGGCTGCTGATTCTGATGCTGATGCTGCTGCTGCTGCTGCTGCGGCTTCTGCTTCTTCGACGGCTGCTCTTGGCTTTTGTTTCCGTTGCATGCTCAGCAAATTGTCTTCAACTAGAAAAGTTAAATTCGATTAATGCCAGACTATTAACAATGTTCATTTCTATTTCTATATATTTACCACCCCTTGCCGGTGTCGCGGCTTCTCCAGGTGTCAGTTTATTGTTGCTCTTGCTGTTGCTGCGAATTCAGTTCAGTTGGCATTTTGAATTTGCCAATTTATCTTAGTTACAGATTCAGTGTTGGTGTATATTGATTTGTTTTGTATAACGTTCAGTTGGTTTTATTATTGGTCGGTTTGTCGCTCTGTCAAACAGCGAGACTGCAAGTAGAAGAACATAACAGCTTTATTAGAAATTGTTTTTTACAAATGTTCGCGCGAAAATTATTTAAAATTCACTTTCAACAAAACAACTTGATAATCAATATAAATATCGGTGTATTCGCGCGGAATAGGTATAAGCCACGGTTACACCAAAATTATAAAATTTTGTATTTTATTTATTTATTTTTTTATTATTATTTTATGTGTTTTGTAATTTATTTGCTTATTTGATTTTATTTTTTCTTCATTTTATTTTTTTTATTATTATTATTTTGTTGTTGATTTACCGGCCGGCTGAACACAAATGACTAGGTTGCTTATTCACTTGGGGATTGCTTGTCGAACAAATTTGACAAATAAATAAATGAAATAAAAAAACCACACACACTTGATTATTTAGGGCGCCAAAACTAAATGTCAATTTTCGTTACATAAACAATAAAATGTTACACGATAATGCAGTTCAAATAAACAAAATACAAATACGAATCCACATGCACATCAACTCATTTCTTCTCATAAACATTGTAGTGCAAGCGACACGCGATGATGATTCTCCCGCGTTCGGCAAATGCGAAATGCAACAAACACTCGTAATGCAAAGTCAAAATAAAATAAATGCAGAGACAACAAAATGTTTTGAATTCTCATTTTTCTTTTTTTTACTCTTTGATAATTTTTCTTCTGAAACACATACACACGTTGGTTGCAGCTGCTGCCGCTTCTGCTGCTGTTGCTTCTTCTTTCGATTTTTTCTATTACGCTTTGGCTTGGCCTTTATGTTTCTTTTTGTTTTTTCTATTTTTTTTTTATCTATGTGTGTGTGTTAGTTACTTTGCCGCCGTTTTGGCACTCACGGCAACAGCGCAAACAGCACTAGTCGAAAAGAGCGGCGAGACAACTTTCGAAATTCGAAAATGCCTGAGAGCGAGCACACCGGAGGAAATGAGAAAGAGCATCACACATACACATGGGACAGAATATGTTCATATAGAGCTGTCCCGTTTGCACACAGGTCTCACTTTAAAATGGTGCTAAGCAGCAGCAGCAGCACAATGAAATACCAATAGTTTCAGATACATTTTAAAACATCATCTACAGCTAGGTATTATTTTCACTATAAGAATACAACTTTTAAAAATTTTAGGGATCTGTGAATCGACCACTATAAAACTTACGAAACAAGAAAAAGTAAGCAAATACATAGAACTCATACACACGAGACTTGACAGGAGAAATTCACCACACCGCTGCCAACTTAACTTGGTTATGTTCAGTTCCAGCAGTAACTGGCAGGCAACATGATTCATGCATAATAAAGTCCCTTTGTTTGTCGTTGTTGCACATTACAAACATTTCACACACAAATACATGGATATATATATATATGCACATGAAAATAAAAATGCATACATTTTGGCTCTTAACACCCTCGCCATTAATTCAGACGATATTGGTGAACGGAAAAAAAAATCCAATGGGCTCACTCACTGTATAGCTCCGACGGCAGCCACAAACAGCATGCACACATTCACACACATATAGAAATATATATACATCTGTTTCACACCACGCGCTGTTCACTCGCACAGTGGTTTCGCGCTCACACAAAAGTCCAATCCAAAGTGTAAACAACGCAGCCCGCCCACATTAATTGCAACGGGTTTATATACTGATATGTTATATTTACATAAATCTGTATAACTGTTTACAACACAATATTTAATCTTTTTTATGCCGGCCGGCAGATATGTACCTCAGTTTTCACTTATTTCACTTCAAAACTCATTTTTTTTTTGCATACATACAGGCATAAACAGATACATATACGTATGTTTATAGCACACACATAAATTAAATACGTAAAATATTCAATTTAAACCACTGTGGGCACGACTCTCAATATGTGTATTTCGTACTCTTGACTGCTGACTGCAAATTTGTGGTTACGGTTTGTTGCCGACCGCTAAAATATATTCATATGTATATGTATGTATATATGTATTTACGAAATGCAATGACGCGAAATTCAAATCAGTTGAAGTTCGAAAGCAACAACAATAAATCAACAAATGACGTAGCCTCATTCCGATTGCACCGAGCGCGGATTGAATATTTTTATAACGCGCAATTATTTGTATTTATTTCGAAAACAAAAAACGGGAAAAAACACACGGCAACGCCAACGCCAATTGCAGTAGCAGACGGGTGAGCTTCTACTCCCTCTCTCTGTCATTCGCTTTTCGCTCTCTTGCTCATTCTCGCAACAAAACAAAACATTAACTGACAACACACACATGAACAAACACACTCACACACACAAACATCCATACAAGCGTTCACGGACAGCAAACGTGCTGATGTCCGCTGTGCTGTTGTAATTATGTAGTACAGTAGACGACTTTGAGTTTTTCAACAAAATTTTACGTAGAGCGCAACAACACCAGCAGCAACGTAGTGCGAACGTAGCTATTGGTGTATACTTCGTGGTGCTTCGTATCAGCACACGAGCGCACGTTCGTTATACTTCGTGTTTGCATTTGTGTATGTAACGGACCGCGCCATACAACACACGATATATGTACATTTTATTCACACATATATATATTTATATATATAAATGTATATTCTTGTGTATGGCTGTGTGTGGATATGTTTTCAAGGCAAACACGATGACGTCGGGCTAGCAGAAGAAGAGAAGCAGTCGTACTGGAACAGCAATGGCATGCATTTTATCACTATTGGCGCCCCAAGAGGCGAGTGGCCAGCAGAGATATATTATTTCGACAATTTATAAGGTCCAGCGGATAATTTAATTTTACGTTAGGCTTTTAATCTAATTGGCAGACATAGAAAAATAACTTTGCAAAATATGTTTATCAACAAAGGTCAACAACAAACGATTTTCGTCACTTATTCGCAAAATTCGGTCTAAGTATAGCTTGGTATAGTACATACATTTAAACTCAAGCAATACGAATAGATTTTTTGTTTTTAATATTATTTTACTGTAGTATTATTATTTTGTTTTACTTTTGCACTTGAACTACGCGCAAAAAATGTTATTTAAATAAATAAAATACAAGTGATCCAAACACCCATGCATACATATATAACATGGTGTCGTGACTGAGCACTTGGGGCCAAATGCACGAGTTAGAGCGAGACAACAGTTCACTACGTAATATATATTCGAAATGCAAATATGGCGGCGGTAGCGGCACGAGACACAAACCCAGCAATGACCAAGAGAGAGAGAGAGAGAGCGAGAGAGAAAGTGGGTTGTACGTTTGTATAGGTCATTCTGCATGTGTATGTGAGTGAGCGCGATTCTCTCCTCATCGTCTACTATTGATGCCCGAGCTCGAAAGTGAAAAAGCAGGCGGCAAAGAGCAGTAACCATTGTTGTTGTTGCTGTTGCTTCTGCTCCTTCCGTCGCTATAATTTGCTGTATCTGCAAGTATGTGCCCTGCCGACTACCGTAACGATACGAAGCGACTACGTCACGACGAACGAACGTATAAATGTCGAATCAAATGTCGCGCCGAAGAGCGTGGAATGTTGACTGCCTGCCTCTAGGTTAATAAATCGTGCTAATAGTGGCACGAATTTAAAGCCGGTTTATATGCAGCAGCAGCAGCCGCTGCCGCTGCCGCTGCCTCAACCTAACCAACTGCAGCCACCGCCGAAGCTGACTGCAAAACCATCAATGAAATTGCGTGTTTCCCAGCCCCCTCCCCCACCACATATAACCGCTTCTGTCCTGCCAACTCCTAGATGCATTGTACAGGACTAAAAGAAAGCCCCATTTGGTGCATAAATAATAGCAAACGGAATGAATCTGAGACGATTTAAATTTTTCGCGCCAAAATGCAATTGTCATACAAGCACACAGATACAGACGCACACGCACAGTGATACAAATCAGATGCTGAGGTGAAATGACAAATGAACAGTAAATGCATCATGCCGGCTACATTTTGTTTATTTTTATTTTTGTTTTGTTTTTTTCTTTTTCTTTTCAAGAAATACTTTAACGACAAAGTTTGATCAAAATTTGAGTTTCATCTTAAGCAAAATCATTAAGTTCAATAGTATTTGTCCAAATATCAATATATCTCTCTCTATATATAATTTCAATTGATTCCTTCAATGAAAATATACATAAGGGTAGAAAAAGAAAATGCAGCTGGCTTTTTAAGCTACATATTAGATGAAGGGTTGCTTGGCTTAGAGTTCTGAAAATGACATCTATTGCAAATAGTTGTCAATGTAGTATAGAAACATAGGAATATTTACACACACACACACACACACACACACACACACATGTACAATGCAGACAGCAACAGTTATTAGTTAATTGTAATCGAGACGTCGATAAATTCGCAATCACATTTCATTGCGTGGGTGTTTGGGGACAGGGGGACACGAGCCACGTGCAACGCCTGATCAAAAGTTCAATTATTGTTCGATCGCAAGTTCGATTTGCTTTACTTACATTTAATTTCTTGTTTTGTTTTTGTTGTTTGTGTTGTAGCTAATATCCAAAACAATTCCAATGAATTGTGATTTTTGTTGTTATGCGGAGATATTCCAAATTTTGTATTTTGCGTTTGTTGTCGCTCGATCCTTATTGTTGCTGTGTAGCTTATTAATTTGCTTTGATTTGTTGTAGCTGTGACTTTATTATTATTTTTGTTGTATAAATATATAGATTTTTGTAACAATAATACAACACGCAAATTCTAAATTTCTACACAATTGTTAAGTGTGTAACTGCATATATAAAAAAAAAAGAAGATAGATATTATACAAATATACTTGATATATATATTGCAAATATATTTGATATATATTTATATCAGAGGGCACCACACATTGTTGATGCGCGAGAGCATCAACAAAAAAAAAAAATGCGCACATGACGTATCGGCTACGTAGAGTATTGATGACGGGGCGAATACGACGGCGGCGGTTTCGAAAACGTAAGTAGCTACGAGAAACAACGTACGTTCTTACGTGACGTTTTGTAAAATAGCGGCTGCGGCGGCGGCAAAACAGCGCGATACACACACACACATATACGTTAGGAGACTACATTGCGTTCATACACGTAATATATTAATATAATAATATATATATTTTTTATTTTTTTATGCATTTGTTTTTTATTTAATATATATTTGTAGCTTGATAAAAATATTTCTTGGATGTTTGCCATTTTGTTCTCATTATTCGTATGGTTTTGCTGCTTTGTGTATTTTCTTAATTTTATTTTGTTAATATTCACTACCTAGTACTGCTAAACGCACGTACAGACACTTAAATACAGACACACGCTACGTTACATATACACATATTTATATACACACATATATATATTTATATATGCATATATAAATACACATATATATATTCACACACACAATACCACATACACTCAGCGACAGATAGCTTCTTCTTCTTCTAGTGTTGGCTGGTTGCGCTGTTCGTTGCCACCACCAAAAAAAAAAGAAAAAAAGTAACACGAAAAAATTGTCACGTCCATTGAAGTCTCACATTTTCAAATTAATTTATTTACGTAAAAATCATTGTATTTAAAAAAATATTATTTGAAATCACAGCGCGTTGTATTTAATTAGCACATGATGAACAATTTATATAATTTTAGCTACTTTTTACCACAATTTAAAAGCAATTTTTACACACCGATATACGTACGCGCTACAATTTTCGACATACGCGCGTTTCTTGTGAGTAAAGCAACCGTCGCAGTCGCCATCAAATATACAAAAATTTTTCGAAATTACTCAAACCGCGAATACACACACACATATATATACAGCGAAAGGCGAGCGCACGCGTACACCAACTGCTCTATAGTGGTACTGCTCACATTTAATACCGATGGGCGTGCGTGCAAGTGCAACCGACATAGTAGCGCTGCATTAGCTACAGAGAGCGCGAGAGCGGACACTGCATGAGAGACTTATCGAAAACGTCTGTGTTCGCTTTGCGTTCGTTGGTGGTGGCAATAGCAAATGCTGCTGTCAGTGTTGGTGGTGAATTTTCGAGATATATACATATATATATATACCAATATATGTATAGACATGTGTGTGTGTACAAAAGCAACGAGCAGCGCGCATGAAAAAATGCACGAGGAACAAAAGTAATGAGGAAACAAAATGGCTGTCTCACAATATTTGTATAGCATCGGTTATGTATGTTGATAAGCGCCTTTTCGCAGTCTAAGCACCAACGTGCCCCAAATGCTTAAAACAATTATCAGCTCAATATCCATTCGGTTTGGTTTAATTCCGCCGCTTGTACCATTTTTTTTAGCATTTACATATATTATCTACATTTTAGCATTGACTAGCACATTTTCTCGTGTTCATTTCAGCACGTAGCGACGCGACTACTATCGGTTCCGTAAGGCATACTCAATTCATCGATATACATCCGATAATATATTATAATTAATCGATGCCAAGCAACGTAACAGACATTTTGATTGTCCATCACCAACCAGCTGTTAGCGTCGCAAATCGATAAGCGATAAGTACACATTGAATACAGACGATAAATAAAAGCAATAGTTAATAGAAAAAGGTAGGCAACATAATTTAACAACGAAAAGTTTGTCGAAAAATTCAAAAATTCTTAAATTCAAAGAAACAAACAATTACTTTGGTAAGCAGCATATTAAGGCACGACGCCATTTCTGTTTCGAGGTGGCCTAGCGGCAGTACACACACGCGTGCGTGAACACACACACGCGCCCACAGACACGCACACATATTTGCTATTCACACTAACGCAAATACCACTACATATGTAATTTACAGAGCCAGCCGCAGGTCGTCATGCCACGAGGAAAATACGTTAACCACAAAGGCCGGACCCGCCACTTCACATCGCCCGAGGAACTGCAGCAGGAGTCCGAGGATGAGAGCGAACAATCGACTGGCAGCGAAGATGAGGGGGAGCAGACGGGAGGAGCCGCCGGCGCCAGCTCATCCAAACAAACGGCTGCATCAGGTGCAGCACGCAAACCGGCGAGGACCGCCCAGCGACAAAAGCCGCAGCAACAGCGACAGCAGCGCAGCTCCTCCGACGAGGAGTCCGATGACGATGACAGTGATGATGATTCGGAGACAGAAGCACGGGATGCCAAGAAGGGCGTGGCTGCGCTTATCGAAATCGAGAACCCGAACCGTGTGACCAAAAAGGCCACCCAAAAGCTCTCGCAGATCAAGATCGACGATGGACCCAGCAGTGCAACGGGCAGTGGCTCATCCTCATCACACAAGCCAGAGCTGTCGCGTCGCGAACGTGAACAGATTGAAAAGCAAAAGGCGCGCCAGCGCTACGAGAAGCTCCATGCTGCCGGCAAGACCACCGAGGCGAAGGCGGATCTCGCACGGCTGGCGCTCATCCGTCAGCAGCGAGAGGAGGCGGCCGCCAAGCGGGAAGCTGAGAAGAAAGCTGTCGCCGATCTGGCCAAGAAGCCACTCTCGAAATAGTCTAGGCGCTCCACATGACAGCGGGTTTATGGCAATCGCATTCAAGTAACAAAAATAGTTCGAATTTCGCATAAACAAGCAAATCACTAAATCAAGAAGCAAAACAACTAAACTATTCTAATTGTACGATTTCTATAAAAAAAACAAACAAAATCATTTTAACAGCAACAAGTAATGGCAACATATAAATTGATATGTGTGTATATGTATAAAACAAACAAAATTGCACCACATGATGTCACATTCTCCAATGAATTGTTTTCTCTATTTCACTTAATTCAAATATAGTACATATACAAGAAAATTTACAAATATTTAGTTAAGCCTAAAGTCAACTTTTCTATTATCAAATTGTTTAACCCTAATATTTTTTACAATCATTAATATATATATTTTTTTTTATTAAAAACAAAGTTTTGTAATTGAGAATTATATTAAATAAAATGATATATATATGTATGTATATTTACATATACATATGTATTAAATATATATATAAGATCGCATACAGTGAACACCCTTGACTAACGAACTCATTTTCATCCATTTGTTGCCTTGATTTTGCAGAATTTTTATGAACATTTTCCATTTTTCACATATCTGAGTGAAATTTGTATAAACTCACGCAATTTGACTGTAGTAGTGAAACCTGATTATATTTTTATGGATATTTGGCATAAATTTTGTGAAAAATGTGTAAATAAAGTGGAAATGTTCGCTATAGCGAGCTTCGACTGTAGCATGAACTGTTGCTGCCTTCTTTTTTTTCATTTGTTGAAACTTTTAAGTCAAATCTAAGCGCTAATAATTAGATTTTGAAATCTAACAGATTTACGTCTCATATGTCGCTGTGAGTTTACTAGGAATATCCATATATTTATATTTATATATGTATATAAGGCCTCTGTAGTCAATGCTTTACTCTACAATATCTTTACAATATCTTTAACCTCTTAATAAATTTTTAAAAAATATTTATATATATTATAATATATATTTAAAATATGTACACATACGCATGATTGAAATGGATCATAGGATATACATATATTCATAATATAAGCTAAACAACTAAATAGGTTTAAACTAAAGAGCGGCTAGGCTAGGGACTAGACCACGCCCCATACCTCTTCAAAGGCGCTGCAGAGCTTCGAGCAGGCAATGGCCGCCGACAGCGGATATCGGCTGATGGAGATGAGCTCCTCGGTGTAGTCGGTGTTGAGAGTGCCGTGAGCGAAGGCGCCAATGACGATGACAACGGGCTCTTCGTACGCTGCGCTGCCCTCCTCGCCCTTCGGCACCAGTTCACGGCAATTGGTCACCAGTCGGCCGGAGTAGGACATCGCATACTTCTTGCAGCCGACGGGCAAGTGATCTGTGATCGGATTCTTGATGACGCTCATCAGGCGGCGCGACGTCTCGTTGGCGCGTACTTGAAATTTGTGCAGCAGCTGCACCATGAGGCCGGCGAAGCGTTTGAATGTGCGCGGTATCCGTGTCTGTGGATTGATTTCGATGATCACATTCTGTGCGGTGCGCACAAACACCTGCAGCAAGCCGGCACGATTCAGCGGCGAATCGAACAGCATCAACAGGCACTGGTGGGTGATGTCCGGCCGGCAGGTGCCCGGTTCTCTATGATTTTTGCGCAAAATGCCCGCATGATCATCACAGTTGAGCAGCTCGAATGTCCGGTTCACCTGCAGCACGTGCACGCAATAATGCCAAATGTTAATAATGATAGCTTATAGATATCGCAGGATTTGATTTACTAACCTTCACCGTTTCCAGTTGCGCGCCTTCTAGTACGATTATCAGGCGCTTTTCTTTCGTATTCACGTGCAGCAGCTTAAAGTTGTTTCTATCCAAATCGAACTCGGGATCGTCTTCCTTGCGTCCCTCGAATTTTCGTTTCCGATTTATCATTTTGCCCTGGCCTCCCATTGCTAATCTATTCCTTTTCTCGTTAAACCGTCAACGCGCTCGAAATACAAAAACAAATGCCATGTGCACGCCGACGTAATAGGGATGAGCTGCTTGGAGCCATCGTTCGATTGTCACCTATCGATGGAGCTCAGCTGTCATTTGCTCATCCCAAGAAGCTGAACATCGTGTAATGCTATCGATGTTGCACAACTGTTCGAAATCATGCCGGCATTGCGTTATCGGCGAGTTCCAACTGCTTCTGTTAAACTATTTATTTATGCTCGCTGGAGTTCTCATAAGAATTTACGACTAATTAGAATTTTATTTAACCATAACAATTATCTGCTGCCGATGTTAGCTCAATCCTAGTAATCGATAGCTTTACAGTCAGTGTTTTGCCATCACTAAATCAATTTCGCTATTTATTATTTTGATCGCATTGCGTTTGTTGACAAAGCGTAGGCTACATTTAAGTTATTTAAAAACTATACGGTTGACATGGCTGCCGCCCGTCGTGATATAGCACCGTTCCTGCAACGCGTACGCGCCTTTCTGCTGGGCGTAAGTATGTCGCAATCGCGCTGCAATTGGCAAATCTGCGAGCGGGTTATGTAAGTGAATGCGATTTTCGTTTGATTCTATTTTTTAGCGTGAACATACTGTTGCGCTGCGCTTCGAGGATGGCTTGGCCGATCGCACACAGCCCCAGCCGGAGCTACCGGACGGACCCTCGCACCTGTACTCGGCCAACTACTATTGCACCCGCGATGCTCGTCGCGAGGTGCAGCCGCCCATCGACCTGGTGCAGCAGCAGAAACTGATCGATGCCGCCGCCGAAGGTGCACCCAAGGCGCGCGCCCAGCTGCCCACGCCCGGCAAAGTCTATGCCTGGGACTAAAGCCGTTCCGCGACCCAATCGATTGTACGCAATCAGTAAATTAAATCAATCTATTTTTTTTTGTGCGAATGCCGTTTAATTTTAAATATAGACATTGTTAAACCACGGAGCATTTCTAGCACTCACTGCGCAGGGGAGAAGAGCGTCGCTGGGCAGCACTGGCTCCTACTACAGCTGTCGTTCGCAATGTGGAACGGCTAGCAGTAAATCTTGTTATAATTATAAAGATGAATGATTGAAAAGATGCATTTGCTAATTTATTCCACTGAATATTCAATTCGAATTCCTTTCTCAGGTCAACAGATTCCTAGTAAATCTCTCAGTTAAGAACGTTATTAAGGGCGTAAACACTACTATATATATATAAAATTGAATATTTATTTTATTTTATTATAATTTAATTCACTTATTGTTCTTAAGCAACGTTGGATGCACTGCATCTGGATTTTACTTGATTTCTATTGAAGACAGTGTCATTAAAAATGGAATTCAAATTCCTAATTCTTGTCTGTTGCGTGTTGAAACAGCAGCATAGGAAAGAGAGAGACGGGTAGAGGTGTGCAGGGACGGCTGCTTTGATCAGCTGGCACTGAACCCCTCTCCCCATCTCGCTCTTTCCGATGACTCTATACACTCATCAGCTGGCCCTGCCAGCACAACAACAATACAGTGGTAAAATTTGATGTTTTTGTTCTAAAAATGTGGAAAATGTATATTTTCTGAAATGTTATCTATATTATAATATGAGGTCGGGGCTTTCCACTAGCATATCTGTTTCGAATTTTCAGCTCGGCTTGCCACGCCCATGAAGGGCTTATGTGATTATGAATGAATGCTCAACATTTCAATATAGTAAGAGATATAGGGCAGAAATCCTATATAGTCCTTTTAGAAAAAGAGAGGCATTATACGAGAGATAATATATTATAAAACACATTTACATTAATGTTAAATAACTAAAGGTAGGTAAAGGGGATAGGGTGGAATCTTTGTAAGATGCGTTAAGTTGCTGGCTAAGCTTTTTCGCCTATGCGATCCTTACGGGCTTTGGTTAGTCTAGAGATCCTTTAGTGGAGCCAAGAGACTTCTCGACCCAAACGACTCATGGACCCAATAGACTCCTAGACCCAACAGACTCCTCTTTCTGTGTTTGAGTGTATCAAAGGAACATGAGAGCTTGTCCTTAGTGCTTTGTTCTGGAATTTCGGAATGATTTTACAGATGGTATAGCTGAAAGTGGTGGATGTTCCTGGGAACTGATGCATAACAGAGGACCAATCTGGAAGCCGCAGCTAATGAAATCAAATGCTAATCCATCAATCGGTATTTAATTTAAAATGTTAAATATTTAATTATGTTTAAAAACAAAATATATTAGTGTATATTTTACATAATTATAAATATAAATAATTATTTCAAAAACTCCAATTAAATTGCTGAAATTCACTTTAATTAGCAGCTGCCTTTGCTTGTGAAGCAATATTCATGCATTGCTCTAAATCAGATTCCGTAATCGCATCCAAATCATCCACTTGTATTCCCATTAGAGTCAAAAAGGCACGGTTCACGGCAAATAGCTTAGAGTTTGCGCTGCAAAGGGATTTTAATCTGTACTTCATTAACGGGAATGCGAATGCGAATGCAGGTGGGAATTACTTACACCTTTAATTTTTCGCAAGCTAATGAAAGTGCTACAGAGTTTCCAGTTGGCCATAGGGTAGAGCGGTCGACACGACTGTATGATGCGCGCTCATGAAATACTGTATACTGTATACTATGGAAATACTGTTAAGAGGGGGGAGTGCTCGACTAAGAGATGCCCTACACCAGATACCCTACACCCTACATAGCTCTCGTCATAGAGGATATTTTGATATATATAAAAATAATCGCATTTGCATAAATATTATGCAGCTCGGGCTTTACTATGGACAGTTATTTGTTGTGAATAGCTTCTGTTTTACTTTATTATTATTATTCTGGTATTATTATTGTTATATGTATATGCTGGAAAAAAGGAGTGGATGGATTTATTGAATTAAAGCCAAGCTATATTTGGCATATAATTTAAGAGGCAAAGCTTCTCTAAGGCTCTAGCTCTTGTAGCTCAGGAGATTGCTGTTCCTATACAACTTGATTGAAAATAGAAATATATAATATAATAAAAATAAAAGTAGAAATATAGATTTTGGAATTGGAACTAGCTTTATAACTCATATATAAAATTAGTTGCTTCGCCCCCAAGAGGAAAAATATAGGCAAATTTATTGAAGTATTAACAGGCTAAAATTAATGTTAAATTAAATCTGACTAAGGGTTAAGCAGTGGCAGCAGGGTTCTGCGGCTTGATATAGGCATATGTTATGTAATTTTAGACTGATCTATGGAGTAACCTTAAATAGACTAATTGACCCAAGCTACCACGCCCCCAGGATGCAACTTGATGACTTGATGGACTTGATGACTTAGTATATATTCATATGTATTTGGCTATTCCATCGATTTCAACTCTCTAGGCTCCATACATTGTTAGCAATATACTCCATTCACTGGGCGAACGAGTGTTATGAATGATAATATTGCCGATTATAATTTGCTCGCTTGGAAGAATCACTGTGCTGAGTTTAGCTCTTTATATCTTCTATTTATCAGTTAGTTGTCAGTCAGTCCATTCATCAATCAGCCAATCAATTACTATCAGCCAATAATGTAGCCAACCAGGCAATGAATTATTCAAGCAGTTAACGCTGTCAATCCCATAGATCAGTTGGTCAATCAGTCCGACATTCCATTCATTGAGTCAATAATCAGTCAATCTGTTACTTTTATCAATCAGTCAATCGATTGCTCAGTCATCAAGTCCATCAGTTCATATATGTGCATATGTATATATATAGACGACAATGAATAAACAAATGATTTGCTCAATCAATCAGCTAATTATGCACTCAGTCAGTCAATCTGCCAGACAAATAAATAGTTGCATCATTTAGTCAGTCAGTCGGTCCATCCCTAGATATATTAAGCTATCAATAAGTCAGCTAAACAGGATCCCAATCAGGTTGGCAGTCCATCAATTAATTAATTACTCACTCATTCCATCCATCCATCAATTATTCACTCTGTTAGTTCATCATATAGATTTATCAGTTGATATATTAAGCTGTCAGCCAAACAGTATCTTAAGTAGTTGACCAGTCAATCAATCAATCAATAAGGTATTCACTCAGTCAGTTAATATGTTAGGCAATTGTTTAATCTGTCAGTCCATCAGTGAGTCAAGCTGTATCCTTATCAGTTGGACAGTCAATCAATCAATCAATTATTCACTCCGTCAGTCAATCTGTTATGTAATAGATTGTATCCTAATCAGTTGGTCAATCAATCAATCAATAAGGTATTCACTCAGTCAGTCGATCTGTTATGTAATAGATTGATCAGTCATTCCGTCAGTGAGTCAAATCATGAATCAATCATTCACTTAATCAGTCAATCAAGCTGTATCCTAATCAGTTGGCCAGTCAATCAATCAAAAAGCTATTCAATCAGTTGATGTGTAAAGCCAAGAAGTAATTAGTCACGCAGTAGGCAAATCGATCAATCAATCAATCAATTATGCACTCGGCTTGTCCATTTGAGAGTTATTTATATATAGTTAGGACTGATCAATGAGACCATCCGCTGATATATCAAGCTAACAAGTAGTCCGTCACGCAGTAAGCCAGTCAATCAATCAATCAATCAATTATCCACGCAGCCTATCAATCTGAGTGTCAATTACTCCATTGGCTCTAGCCATCAATTATATAGTCAGTGAATCAATCACTCGTTAATTCAATCAGCTAGCCAGTCAGTCAATCGTCAGTTCGTATCACTATATACATACATACATACATATTCATATACATATACATATATGGCCTTTGCACACATGCATGAATCTGAGGATTGCAGGTACTACATCGAGTGGACAGCGCACAGTTGCCATGCAGAGAGCACTTTACGGGCATAATGCGCAGAGTAATTTCGCCACCCTGTGCGACACCCTGTGTGAGAGAAGGGGTGGGGGGGGGGGGGGGGGGGCGGGGCAGTGGGGTTAGGAGGGAATGGTGCACTTCAGCTGGCATCAATCTGAGCCCAAGAGCTGCCCACAATGCGACGGTCGAGTATGCGAGTCTGTGTGTATGTGTGTGAGTGAGTGTGTGTGTGCGAGAGTGTGTGTGAGTATATGTGTGTGCCAGTGTGTGTGTGGCTGACACATTAAAGTGCAGCTTTAAAATATGATGCGTGGCATCCACAGATGCCTCGTCGCACTCACGGGGAGTGAAATTTTTTTGTTTTTTTTTTTTGCCCGTGCCACGTACGGCACATAGGGAAATGTATTTTTGCATCCCGGTCAGCCAGGCGGGAGTTGAATGCTTAACATCGTTTAACGTTTCACGCTGCCATTAGTGGTGCCACTGCCACTGCCACACCCACGCCCACGTCTACGCCCCCCCCCACTTGCATCGGCCTGTTTGTACTCTTAGTCAAAACGAGATGTGTGTGTGTGTGCCCTGCATTCGCAATTGCATGGTAATCGAATTATCTGGCAACTCTGCATCGGCTTTCCTCTTCTTCTTCTTCTTCCTCTTCTTGCCAAAATGGGGGCAATCGGGCGTCCAGCCATTGAACGGCCTGTGGAATTGTGCGGGCGGCTTTGGGCGATCGACCTTAAAAGCAGTGCAGCAGGCAATACACCCTACAATCCATCAATGGGTCATATTGGTTGCGATAATATTGAAGAGAGGGAGATGACTGATAAAAGCAACGGTTTTTTTGGATTGAAAATGGATTAAATAAACAACATAGGGTAAAATGAATAAGAAATATTACATACAATATACCAGAAAGCAGGTGTTACATAAGGAGTACCATGTCCATGGAATCAAGTTAAAGTTAAAAGAGATACGGCTCAAACTACGTAAGTTCACGATAGTAATAGTAAGAATGTGCAAATTATAGAGGTCACAAAGGTACTAGGTACAACTCATTGGACATAAGAATATAAATATAAAATGTATGAGGCGAAAGCTACATATGTATATATTGCTGGTAATAGCTATAATT